TTCATGTGCGCATTTGACTTACACTTGACTGATTTTTTTCTATTTTGGGAATATTTTCATTAAATTTACAATTAAATCAAATTTCCACATAGACTTATAGCATTAAATTTCATAATACTTGTAACACATACATGATAGGAAAATTAATGAAACCAATCAATTTTCTACCTACTTAAATAGAAGAAAGTATTACTTAAATAGCATCAAAAATTATATTTTTTACTAAAATAACAATAATTGTGTGTAGTGTCTATATATTGAGCAAAAAAATTTATTTGATTACATTCAAAATTAATCGTTAATGTCGGCTCAGTAATATTTGTCAAATGAGTCTCGAACTATGAGAAATTGCATGTTAATCTGTTACAAGAGTTATGCCTATGAAAGATATCATCAGAAATCATCCCTTAAGGGGGTGAAAATGGGGATGAAAATTTGTATTGGTGAGTAAGCTAGGGTTGAGCCCGAGCGAAGCGAGGATTAGTCACTAGTGTAGTATACACGTATGTAGTATGTAATGCGTCCAAACTTAGGCCTTATCAAAGAGCACATAATTGAATTTCAAAACATAAAATTTTAATAACTATTAATTTGTTTTCCCAAATAATATAGCAGGTATATCATTTAAAACCATGAACCACTCATGCTTTGGGACTAACAACCATAATTATGATTTGACCATAAAAACGATAAGGCTTTCTCTTCTCCTGTACATCTCAGTTCAAAGACTCAGAACTGAGATTGTAAGAATAAACATTACAAGTACAAGTACATCGAAATAGCTCTCGTGGTGTTATTATCTTTTTTTTACATTTTTATGTTGAAACCAATCAAAATCTTGCTTCAGCTGGCAACGATTTTACAAATATCTAATAAGGGACCCATTGTAAATAAGAAACCCTCTCCAATTATACGTTAATTTTTAGAATACTCCTTTTTCATTCTTAAGAGTAATAAAAACTTTAGAAAACCGACTTAGTCGGTGCCAGCCGACAATATTTTAGGATTTGAATATGTAATAGATAATTATGATTTAGTATGAACTCTAATTATAGTTAAAATAATATTATACATCAATTTGTGATCTATATTAAGTAACGAAATATATTAGATTTGTTTTGCATTGGGTGCAGTGCATTTTTTTTTAGTTTTTATTTTTCCATTTTTAGTGTACACGTAATAAGCAGTTAATTTGTAAGAAGAATTTTTTTTAATAAATTCAATTAAGCAATTTATAAAAAAAAATGTTGATTTTTTTTAAAAACCGCTCGAACAATTTCGATAAAATTTAAATGGGAATACCTGGTATACCCTTCGAAACAAAAAAAAATTCCAAATCGGTTCAGGCGTCTTCGAGTAATCGGTGCACATACATAAAAAAAATAGATTCCGACGAATTGAGAATCACCTCCTTTTTGGAAGTTGGCTAAAAACAATTCTTCTAAGTTCATAAACGAATGGGTAAAGACTTTTTACGGACTCGTTTATTAACTATATGGAGGTGAAGTAATATTATATTATAGTCTATCTAACGTCCCTCCATACATAGCGGTCGGACCTTCATGCCCAACTGTGCCACAATTATTAATAATCTCCGCCCCCGATAAAATAAGTTATTCATTGTTCCATATTGTCGCACTATTGCTCGAACCATGGCACCTATACCGCATTCATTGGCATCGTTCAACGTGCTCTTGGACAACAATGCTCATTGGGACCCATTCAATGACAAGTGGTCAACTTTGGTTTTTGAGTTGCTGAGGTATGCTGAGAATATTGAATGACCCTGTTATTAAACGGGGCTATTCGATATTCTCAGCATGCTCTCAGAACCCGAGTAGTATTTACTTTTGTTTTGTTTGTGTATTTTATGTTTGTAATAATTTATAATGTATAATCTAGTTAGTGTAAGTGGCGCCGCCGTTCTAATTGGATGTAATATAAATAATAAATCAATAGCTCAGGGCTGTACAGTCTCCGCGAATATGACAAATTTAAAAAGGATAACACTTATGTACCAACTTACATAATATTAACTGTTTTAAACGTTTTACCTCAAAGTTAAACCAGTTTTGTACGGTTGGACAAATTTATTTAAAATTGAGTACACAGAAGGAACTGGAGTACCACATAGATTATAGTAAAGCGCACAAAGGACACGGAACACGACACAACTCAGTGCTTTTTTGTCCAAACAACCAATTTACCGAAAGAGTTTTTAATACTAGAATTATCTATACATATAATAAAATTGTAACTAAGTCGAATCTGTACATTAAATATTTTTTGGAAAATCTAATTGAAATAGACATTATTATCTACACAGAGTCCGAATCTATAGTTTTTAGAATTTTTGTCTGTCTGTCTGTCTTTCTGTCTGTCTGTCTGTCTGTCTGTTACCGCATCACGAGAAAACCATTGGACGGATTTTGATGAAATTTGATATGATGGTAGCTGGTTATCCGGGTCAACATATTGGATACTTTTTACCGCGGAAAAATATCTCATTTGTGAGAAAAAATACAAAAACTGCATTTTAAGAGTATACTAATATGTAAAATCTAAGAATTTGGTTGTTGGTCATCTGAACGCGGGCGAAGCCGCGGGCAATGCTAGTTGATTTATAAATTTCAATTGTATTGGTATAAAATACACATTTTACTTTAAATAAAAACATTTTCACTAAAAAATAAAAACCGACTTCAAAAAAAGCACTAAAAAGTAAAAAATAACTGATTGGTAGTTTTCATTTACTATACATACCTAATCAAATATTTTCGAAGTCGGTGTGCTTTGCTTTGTATGGGCTGGCACGATTTCGAAAATATTTGATTAGGTATGTATTTAATAGGTAGGCTTTAATTACTTAGCCAAAGCACACCGACTTCGAAAATATTTGATTAGGTATGTATAGTAAATGAAAACTCCCAATCAGTTATTTTTTACTTTTTAGTGCTTTTGTTTGAAGTCGGTTTTTATTTTTTTGTTAAAAAGTTTTTATTTTTCCCTTTTTAGTGTAGACAGTAGTAGCAAAAAAAGGATTCTAACGTGTTAGGCTTGTCAAATCAAACAAAATAAGCCCAAACTCAAAGTATCTACTATTAGCCGTTGAAGAGTTCCACCTATCCACCTTCTGACCTTGCCATCAGATCAGGTCAACAATACTGAACGACTGTACTATCAACGGAAATAGAAACACTTGCAAAGTTTCAAGTCAATATGACAATTAGAAGTAGGTTAAATTCATCATTAGTTGTTTTTCCACCCTTAGGGGTGGTATTTTTTTTTGAAATTTCAATGGGACCAATCTGAAAGTATACTCTTTCAAACAAAACAAAAATTGTCCAAATCGGTTAATAAATGACGGAGTTCTGAGGTAACAAACATAAAAAAAAAAAAAAACATACAGTCGAATTGAGAACCTTCTCCTTTTTGAAGTCGGTTGAAAATCCAAAGTAATGTACAACAAGTAGTGGTCGCTTAAACAAATAAGCACTAAGGCGATGAATTATGTAATGATTTATCTATTTTAAAGCTCAATTGCTAGGCAGGTTGAATAAGAAAAAAGTCCACTACGATTTTCTAATGCGGACTTACGAAGAAAAAGTTCTTTCGTCTGAAATATATGAATGTATGTCTATGCAGGTCCATAATCCTCGAAGAACTAGATTTAGCATTTGAACCCGCTTCAAAGCTTCACTTGGTTTTTTAAGAAAGCGATTTATCAATGAACTAACACTGCTTACTCGATACTCGTACTAAATATTATAATCTCTCGAAGTCGTAGTTAGTTTATCATTGTTATTCACTCGTTATAGTAAATTTAAATGTTAGGAACTCGTTATTCTATTATTATAATGTGCAAATAAATAGTTTAGATTAAAAAAAGATATTATGTGATACACAAATTATGATGAATATTACACAATTTAAGTCAAAATCTCGTGTATATTGTGTTTATACCTTTATTTATATACAGAGCTGGTTTAAATTATTGTATAATATATGAAATAAAACTTTACTAATCATTACTCAACAGTTTTATTGATAACAACTTGAATAAGTTAATAAATTAGCATCATAATAGTTACTTTAATTGTTAATAGAAATAAATATCAAATGTTTATCTTATTTATTTACATTGTTAGAAAATTAGATATAAAAATATAAATAAATACTATCGGTAAAATATTTATACATTTTTTTATAAATATATATAATAAATACTGAGATCTATATAATATATATAAATTAAATAAATAGTAAGCACATATACATATTAGGTATATAAAATATTTGGCATGTTTACATATTTGTTTATAATATTGATAAAATGAATAAATGCAATATTATAAATTTTATTTACATATGTACAATAAAATATTTATTATATATGTCTCATATAAACTATAAATATATATGTGTTTGTATATGTATATTCATATAAATAAATAACTAAATATCTTACGTATGCCCATAATATATGTACATTTTTATACTAGTAATAATATTTGAAACCCTATTGTTATTAAAGCAAATTCCAAAGACTCGCTTCATTAATAAATATTATGTACATAAATATTTACATATAAATATGTTATATAGATACATATATTTATATTAAGTTACCGAGAATAGTATTAAAATCTGAAAATATATTTTCCATTTCATTTATAGCTAAATCGTAGTCCGTTCTATGCCAGTGTCATAAATTAAATCCATCATCATAATAAATAAATAAATAAAAATAAATATTTTCCAACTATTACGTATTGTACTAACCATACAATGGTTTACATAGATGTTTTTATGGAATTGGAATCATAATTTAAAGTATAACTAAGTAAAAGTTCTTCTCTATGTAATATTTCAGTCTATTTTTAGATATTTTCTAAACGACTGTAAAAGAACTTTTAACTAATGTTGGCGGGTACTTTACTATAAATAATGTATAACCGTGTCCATAATGTATCGTTTCCTTTGGTGGGTCAACTTTTCTATTGGGCGTAAGCGCTGTATGCTAGGTCGTGAGCGTTTTCGAGGGACCTGGAGTTGAAATTGTAAATTATTAGTAAAACATCTAATAAATCAAGTTATAGGCACATAATGATTTATAATACACGATATTCCTAACATTCTATGTATATAGAAGCCGGAGACAGAATTTAGATCGTGTATATGAAACAGGGCTTAAATAAGAGCTTATTTTCCATGATTGTCTCGTTAAAAAAGGAACACAGAATAGTCAAAAGTAAAGATATACAAAATATTATATTTTCTCTTTATCTCTTTAAATAAAAATTATAATCAATAGATATAGACAATTAAATGGAATAGTACTTGAAATTAAAAGGAATTTTAATAATTTAGTTCTAAAATTATCAACAGATGGTGCTGTCCAGTAAAAAAAATATTCGCGTGGGTTAAGTCACAGGCAAAAGCTACTACTTAGGTACTAAAATAATAACATAAATATAAATATGTTACCTGCTCCATCCCGCACCACCATGACCTGCAGATACCACAACTTCATGAGCTTCACCGGTACCGTTCGAAGATAAAAGCTTCTTCAAACCAATAATACCAGCAAGGACTAACGCTAGCTTAGAAACAATCAGAGCTTTTCCAGCTAATAGGGCCAGTGCTCCAAAGGCCAAGGGAACCATCATACCCCCGATGAGCAGAGGGATGGCGAGGAGGGGTGCCAACTTCTTCCTCCTTCCACGGTCTTCAGCGAACGCGCGTTGTAAATCTGATCCTGAAGGGAATTGAATCTGAAATATACGAAAAGTATGGTTGTTAAAAGTTGATCATCTTATGGAAACAATGTTTTCATCAATTTATTATATATTTTTTTATTTATTTTCGTAAGTCATAGAGGTTTTGTTACCACTTGGGGCCTTATGTTGGCTTGTATTACTAACTTGAGGCGTCAGTGCGGTGATAGTGGTCAAGGACATTATTTTTTACTATTGTATATTTTTTTGTCATTATTTTTTGTAACTCATTAAACTTATAAAAAGTGAAAAGTTCAAGAAAACACGTTAAATAGGTGTCCGTTGTTTTAAAAGAAGTTCCTCTGAAATTAGTTAGCTATCAGACTCTGTGGGTGTATTTCAAAGCAAGCAAATAAAACAATGTCTATCACCATATTATAAGCATTTGGCGTACTTGGATACCTAAATAATGTGTAATCCTCCGGTCGATAACTTGTTTATAAATTAAAGAGTCATAGTCCAGTGGTAAATGGCTTAATTGGAAAATCAAACTAAGTAGGTATGAACATGGATTTTGCACTGTGTGATTTTATGTTCGAATCATTTCTCATGATTTTTCATTGTCACCAGTTATTATCAATACAAAAAAGAAACTTCAAGACATGACCTGCGTGTCTCAGAAAACGTCGGTTAGGATTTCAAAAACGTGTACAGTCCGCCATTCCTCTTTTGGTCAGGGTAAACGCTACGCTTTGGGAAGAGGTCCGTTCCCAATTGTGGGACGTAAAAGGGCTTAAATACGTTTTTATTTTACTTAAATAAAAAGTCATTATAACCCGTCTCTCTATATCGTTTATTGCTGTATGAAAGAAACTTTTATATACACACGTAAGCAGTTACATCAATAACCACTTATATGAATATTCAACGATTCTATCATCCGTAAAACTCTAAAAGGTTTTTCTATTATAAATTTCTCCATCTAGATCAGGGGCGCAAAAACTAGTATTGAAGGACATATTGGCTGTATAGAATATCGGAACTATATATATTTTGGAACTCGAAGTAGGTGATAACCTTCAAATGAAATAAGCAATAACAAGATAAAAAAAATTGATCAATAAATCACATATAATTATCTAAAGAAACTAGAATGAAAACTTAATAGAGTGTGTTCAGGAAAAAAGAAAAATGAATTAATTACATCAATTATATGTTATCGTGAAAGCGGTCACGGTGCGTCCACGCACGGTATGCTGAAGTTTCGTGTTAATCGTTATTTTCTAACGCTAATGAGATTTTTTTGCAATTAAGTATAAAGGAAATAGACTATAAGCTCGTTAATCGAAGGAGGTTGGAGATACGATCCCTGAACTAACTAATGTATGTGATTTTTTTTTTGGATGTCAAGACGATGATATCTGCTATTTTACATCTTCTTAGTCCCACATCTCCTCAAAATTGTAATTATTATAAAAATATCGGTATATAAACAGTTCTTAAGTCGTTCGAATTTAGACATGTATTTTCTTCAATCCAAACATTAAAGAGATACTAATATATCATTTAGTATTTTATATTGATTTACCTCAAATTGTATTTATTTTTGTGAAACTAGATTTAAACTATAAATTTATATCCTATTTTAAGCAAAATAAAAATTTTAATACAATAATATTTGATCACACGTGATGTAACATGTCAACAAACAACAACACACATAGAAAGTCAGCCCCAAAGTTTCAAAATAAAGCCATGCGTAGAAAAATATCTGATATTTAATCACTTATAACGTCTATATTGTCTTACGCAAAAAATAAAAAAAGCCCTATATTATGTAGTATATTATTTCGATTATTAGAAGCAACAATGGTTTGCTTTATTCAGTAATATATTTAAAAAAATGCAAAAACACAAAAATTCATCCCCTTTTTCTTGTTTGTCAACCGATTTTCTTTTTATACAACTGATGATGTTCTCCTAGCCGATTCCGGCCACGGCGGCCAATCTCAATGAGATTAGCCAACTGCGCAGGAGATATTATAGTGCTCAAGTGTACGCGCAGACACAAGTGCACTCTCTATTCCTATTACTCTCATACTCCGGTGGGACGACCACTCGACACGACCGGTGAGAGTTAAGGCGCAGGACCGACGGCTTTACGTGCTCTCCGAGGCACGGGGGTGAAACACCGCCAACTTCCCAACTCCGGGCTGTTACTGAGACTTACTATACAGGAAGACTCAATAACTAAACTTGGCCCGACCCGGGACTCGAACCCAGGACCTCCGGGTGTGCAGTCGTACATGCTAGCCACTACACCACCGAGGCAGTTAGTTTTATACAACTATTTTATATCTGACCATATAGGTCATTGTCAAAGATCAGTGTTACGTTATTTTAACGTTACTAGCGTAACGTAATTAAAAAGGTATTAAACTACTCGAAGGGTTTAAGCAATGAATACTAATAACACTAGCCTTATCTGGTAGTGACATTAACCTTGGTATCGTTACGATCGTTACTGAAGAGATTACGTATCGCTATACGTAATGTTCATTCATAAATCCATTTAGTTGGGTTATCTAAGCGACATTGAGTTCATTGTTTCTCACTAAATGTTAAAGTAATGATATATTATCTATATAATAATAATAAATAAATATGTTGGGACATTAACACAGATAGTAGATACACTATACATTATATTTAAATTTAAATAAATTATATTTAACTTTATATACTATATAAAAACCATATTTTTATATAACCTGTATAAATCTTCAAGTATAAAAAAATGTATTTTGCTTAGCAATGATGATCGTGAATGAATTTGTCGCATCATAAAATAAGTAATAAACAAAACGACAACACAACAAAATGGTGTGTATTAGAAAACTCGTCATTACTTGCTTAGTCCGTTAAAGTTGAAAATAGTTATTAAACCTGTAGAGAAACTGACCGAGCTAAATGAGATCAAGCTCAATATGGATGTTGAAACCTACTCATATTTTCATACATGTTGAATTTATGTTAACTCTTCTAAGCATATTAAAAGGAGAACTTGAATTTGTATCTAATTAACTATTTTAAATTTTAAAAACTTCATTTACCTATTTATTTGTCATGTACTTACTATGTATATATTCAGCCCTTTTTAACGTCCCACTGTTGGGCACGGACCTGCCTTTAATATAAAAAGGGATCAGGCCATAGTCCACCACGCTGCCCAAGTGCAGGTTGGCATAGTTCACATGCTTTTCGAAAACTTGCTAGGTTCTCTCAGACATGCATGTTTCCTCACGATTTTTTCCTTCACCGTAAGACAAGTGATAATCACGTTGAAAATGATTCGCACATGAAGATATCGTCTCGAAACCGACCCGAAAATAGCGATGGCCGTATCCCTCGGTTTCCCAAGCGAGCGCATTACCACTGGGCTACCACTGCCTATACTACAGGAGCATTATAATATACTATAGGGGCATTAAAATTTATTAAAAGCATAAGGGAATCTTTATGTATTTTGTATACTCTCGCATACTATTTCGAAGAGGTAAAACTTGTTTATTCGCATGGAGATCATTTCTGAAACTACTGGAGCGAGACTCAAACTCCTTTTATAAACCTTTTACTGATTTTTTTACTAATTAGTAAGAAAAAAATCAAATGCTTAACTATTTAAGTCTCTTAAGTAAATTTTTTAGCTTGATCATTAAGTACAGACCAGTTCTCTTCAAACTGTTAAATAAAAAGTAAAGAAAGAAATTATTCTTTGCTAATTTTCTGTGAAGTATCTTTATATATGCTTAATATATTTAATTATTTTTTTAATTATAGGTCCTTAACAATTTGAATAGTCACTTTGTACTTCTAATCATAGCTTTCTGATTTATAATAGTAGGTATATGTCTAATTTATTAATCATCGTTTACCTGGATGGTATGAGATTGGAGGAATCCAACGATTTTGTCCATAATAAGGTTGTCCAATGAGCTCTCATCAAGACCTCTCGGAATCGCCTCTTCAGTTTCGACCTTTTGGACAGCATCTCCATTTTTGGTTATCGTCACTCCACTTAAAAGAGAAATTTCATCGCTGTTTGATATCCTATTCAGAGCTCTTGCTAGTTTTAATTTCAGGCAACTGCTCATATCACTGCCACTGCAGTCTCTATAGGTTTCATATGCGAATTTGAAGTCTCCTAAAACGGTGTCATGTGAACTCCTCGCCTCTTCAAATTTGTCTTTGGATGATGCCGTTCGTGCACTTACGGCTACGGCCAAGGTCAATACGAGGAGGTAATTTTTAGGCACCATTTTGTCGTCGTTCGCACGTTCGTGGTGGATGGGTTACTGTGTTTAAAACTAGAACAGTGTTAGCGTTTATATGCGCTTAGCTTCACGGTACACTGGGTGTTGCTAAGAGGGATGCAACGATGCATTTATGCAGTTTATAGTACAGTCAGGGATAAAAGGTTAGTTACTTTTAATGTATGTTTGTGAAACCAAAACATAATTTTGAAGTCGAAAGCCTTGATAGGCCTGATCTTTTAAAGTCATTATCAAATATAAGTCATCATAACATTCATAACTCCACATCACTTTAATGGCAATGCATACTAGGAGCGGAAATGGGCAGTTACAATATATCTTCGTCGGGATCGGATTAAAATTTAGGCTTTATTTTACTTCGTGATCTCCCGCATAGCATGCCATCTGATTTGTTTGATACGACATATTTCCATATTCATTCAAAGTCCCTGTAGAGAAGGAGAATAATGCAGCTCAGTTTGCAATCTTTCAGGAGGTCATCCTACTAAATTTTCAGTCAAAGTTTTCTTAGATCTTCGACAAAACCGGCTATTGTCAAAAACCTTGAGGTAGCTTGAAATGTTCTTGATTACTAGACTTTATAAGTATGTTAATAATAGTAACATAAAATATGTCTACAAAAATAATATACGAAAATAATATACTGTGATTAAATAAAAGTAATTTTGCTACGCAGTTATAAATAATAAACAAAATTATTTTGTGGAAAATTTGACTACTCTCAAATCTTATTACATCTATTTCTGTACTTCAAATATATAAAATATAAAAATCGATGTGTGTATATGTTCCCTATTGACTTTAAAATGGTTGGAGCGATTTTGATGAAATTTTCAGGCAAACTTCAGATTAGCCCAGCAGCTAATCCTATGAAGCTTCATAGTGAGTGAAAGTTTGAACGCAGGTGAAGCCGCAGGCATTGCTATATATATTATATTATATTAATATGTATATAAAACTGAAGAGATTATTTGTTGGTTTGACGCGTTAATCTCTGGAACTACTACACAATTAAAAAAATCAGACGCATTTTATAGCCTATAATAAATCTAAGCTTTTTAAAACCTATTTATCGAAGCTTTCTAACTTTATGTGAGCTTCAGAAGCAGGACAAAAACATATAAATATATTTTGAAGAAATGAAAATTATTTATATACTGTTGTGTTTGGAAGCATTTCTTTTCTTCAGTGTACATACATATGTAAAGATTGGTTTTAGCGCCTCCTTGTGTTATTAAATTATTAAGTAATTAATAAAATATTATTATTTTTCCCTAGTAAAGGAAAAAATAAAACACCTATAAACAATATATGTATGTATATGATGATTATTATTTAACACTAATCATGTTATCATTATATCAATTTGTTAGTCACTTAACGTAATATACCATATTTCTTTGTTTAGTATGAGTTTTTGTTACTCCTTCATGTCGAAATATAATCTATATATATATATATATATATATATATATATATATATATATATATATATATATATATATATATATATATATATATATATATATATATATCTAGAGATAATTATAATATCTAGAGTAACAAAAATACGAAGTGATAAGTCGCTAGTTATTATAAAATATTATGTATGTATCATAATTCATTTTTTAACTTTTCTAATTTATTTGACTATTACCTTACTATAAAAACTAATAATATATTTTTTCATAATAATAGATTAAGATGACATTTTCGAACGTAAATCGTCTGAGTTCGTATGGACATGTGACGATGAGGAATGACACGCATGTGACGAGAAGAGTGATAAAAATGAATGTAGATGGATGAAGAGGTAGACGAAGACCGAAGAAAAGATGAAGATTATGTGAGACAAGACATGAAAGAGAAAAGGGTGAATGATGATGACGAGTAATAGGGGAGAGTGGAAGAGGAGGACTTAATGCGTCGACCAAGTAACTTGTGAAATGGGCAGCGAGATGACGATGACCAGATTAAGGTAACATAATTTTTCTTGAACTGATTTATGGTTAGTAGTTGCAGATTGGATGAAATCAATCATGCTTTAAACTCTCGCAACGCCGCACTTAGTAACCATTCATATGCGTGAATTCACTGCATTACTCACTGTAAATTTTTTAACACAGTATATTACTATTTTTTTTATTATTAATACAAAATAATTAATTCTAAAACGGTACTCTGATTTTAATATCGTCATAAATAAACTATTTTCATTTGTAAGATGGAACTTTTTCTTTATTTTATATAGAATTATCCTCGAGGTATTTCAATTTAATAAAGAAAAATTAAATTAAGTAAGGATATCGTGTAACACACAAAATAACATACATTTAAATTAGGGAATGCCCTCACTTTTTTAAAGTCAGTCAAATAGCTTATTAGAAATTATTATTTAGTTTAAACTTTCTTTTATTTAGTAAAAGTAAAATAAGTTTGTACGGTAACACTCACGTAATCTATAATAATAGGCAGCAATATTCAGTGGTTTCCGCCACAAACCGTAGTTTTAAAACACCCCGTCGTGATATGTGCATAGCCAGTAAAGTCTCTGAATTATGCAGAAAGTACACGTTGGATCAGTTCTAGTTGTTGCAATATCTTCTTAAATAAAGTTTTATTATAACAGATTTTATTTTTATATGAATTTATATAACTATTACAGCTCAGTAAGGTACACCTTTTATCAGTATATGCCCTCAATTCGGAAAAAACGCGATATCACACGTATAGAAATGAAACTTGGTGCAACCATCCACTAGGCTTAATAAAGTTGGAATATGTTATATTAATTTGAACAACACCTTATATTCTTTATTATATTATATAAAAAATGAAACATGACTATGACAAACACACTTGAATTGTAATCCTTTTTATGTACGGAACACAAAAACATTTATTCAGTAGTTTTACCGTGGAGATGAACATTTATTCATGATGCTGCGTGATCAAGATGTAGTTAGTCACTTGTATTTAAAATTTAAATGGACAAAAAATACTCTTGCGCTTTGCGCCTATTTATAGACCAAGCTGGTTATTTTGTTACCAAATTATTTTCATACGTTTCTATTTGGAATCTATTTTATTCAATTATTTTGTATTTAAGCAAAATTCATTTTAATATACAAATCTCATGGTGCATTCTTTCCAACAGTTACTTCTTACAATATCAACTATCTGCTAGTAAAAGTCCCGGTGAAATCATTCAAGCCGTTTTGAAGATAAGCCGGAACAAACAGACAGACAGACAAAAATGTTTAAAATTGTGTTTTTCCCATGATTACCGTATACAATTTCATATGCATTTAGTAAAAAGCTTTTATTTTGACACTAACTGACACTTCAATTTTATTAATCTCTATGGATTACGAATAAATTTGAGATAATAAATTTTCTAGCTATTTTAATGCAAAATATTTTCCAATACTATAGATTCGAATAATTTTCACTTACACGCCATGATTTGTCTCGTAGAAATTGATTAGAACTCTATCTATAGGCGACGACTTCAACCAAAGTTTTTTTTTTAAATTGTATTTGACATCGCTTTTTCATAAAGACAGACATTCGTTTAATATAAAGGTGTAAATTAGAAGAGTTTAAAGTAAAATCTGTTTTGATTTTGAAATTGAGTACCTACCTACTTTTTAGCTACTTTAAATATACACATAATACATATATCAATATTTACCTTAATCATCAGATCAGCTCAATAAAAATCCAATAACTTGATACTTCAAGTTGTTATTAATTATCGTATTGTTATCTAAATTTCACATACTTATGAAGTTTAAAATGACTACCTTTGATCACATAACGTCGCCTTATTTTAAAAAAAAAAACTTTATTTCTGAGTTACATTAGACAAAGTACATCTTGAATCTTTTTAAAAGTGAAACATGTATTTTGACATCTAAAACTCAATAAGTCTATAATAAAATACTTGTATGTTTATACTTGTATGTAGATTTCGGGGGCGATAAATCTATCTGGATTAGTCTTATGCCTGAGAAAACGCGTGTTTTCGAGTTTTCATGCAGTTTTCTTATGCATTATTCCACGCAAAATATGGTTGGTAATTTGCACGCTCGGGTATAAGCATCGTGGTCAAGCGGCAAAGGTGTAAGATCAACAATCACTGTCAATCAATCACAAAGTTTTTACTTTCGTTTTTTTGAATATTTGAATAAGTTTTTAGTTTTTTTGAAAAAAAAAGAAGAAAATTGTACTATAGGCCAAAAACTGCGAGGGAAGCTCGAGCCCAGATACTAATATTTAAAAAGATAAAATAACAATATAATACATTCTCTTAAAACGATCATTTAAGAAAATATATAGCTGACACTATGAATACCGCAATGTTAGCGTCTCTGAATGACTTTACTGAGATACTTCAGTTTTATTTTCACTCAGAAGAAAATCAACATCCAATAACTTTTTTCCACGATTTCACCTTCATTTTCATAATTGAGCAGCTCCGTTATATACCGTTGCCGATTTGTGATTTATTGTATTAATCGTCAAGAATTTATGAATATTGGACATACATGATATACTAGCAATTAACTTAACTAGCCATATGACTGTTCTGCATATGTGCGTTTTTAGTTTGACAATTTTCGAAAATATTAAAATGAGTTTCATCTATGGTGTACTAACACTACATGACACGAACCATAAAACAGGCCAATATAGACATAGGGACAATCCAGGACAGAACTGCCTGGCGCAAAATAATTAGGAAAGCCGACCACACCTAAAGTGGGAAAAGGCAAAGAGAAAGAAGAAGATTAAAATGAGTTTCATTAAAAGGTATATAATATTATATAGTAATATAAGATAGTATAAGAAAGTATCACTTAATAATACTTTCTTAGATTTATGCGAATAATTAACATTTTAAGAAACATTATGTTTTTGGATTTTTTCTCATATTTATTTAGATTTTTGGTTCCCGACGTTTTGAATGCTTTATAGCGGTC